GGGAAACCCAAATTTTCGTAAAACTGGCTTTTCGGTAGATTTTTAGAACTTTTTCTAGAAATAACTACTGCCACGAGACTCAGCATGATCGATTACCTATAGTCCATCCGTTTTCAAGACTATCAATGGTCACTGGGTGCCAGTCCTAGGACTCGTAGGAAATCCGACACAACACTAGAGCCGCAGAAAATCAAGATTTCGCTCTACTCTCATTTTGAAGAAGACACCTTGGACTATCAGACCATGGAGGAAAATCAATACAATCCTATTAAAAAGTTTTTACACGCGACCTGGTTTTTCAAAGATCTCCTAGAAAAGCTGTTTTAGAAAACACTTCTGAAAAAGTTTCTGCTTATGAAAACATGCCCCCAAGTCTCCGCTTTCTTATGGCGAAAGCCGGAGCTCTCTAGCTGGCTTCTATCAAAAGTTATTAAAAAAACAACGGAGTCCATTCTATTTTGGTACAGACAGTAGTTGTTATTTGATATAATTGAACTAGATTGGCTTGAAAAGTTGAAAAGTGTCTTGTGATTTTCTTTAAGATTGAAAATTTTTCTAAAACTTTTTTCAAGTTTTTCGATAATCTGCGAAGACAGTTTTGTTCAGATTTCTGCTGTTGTATCTATCCTTTTTTTTATTTACTTCAACACATTATTATACAAAGGTTATTCATTAGGTTTGATTAAAGTTTCTTTTAGTTCTCTATTCCAGCCATTTTCTGTTACGTATTTTGCAAACAGAGCCACATATTTCTTGAGACAGAGAAGGCGATTAAAAATAAAAGATTAACACTGAACATGACTATTTTTTTGTTGATGAAGAACCATCTAACGAGGGAACATTCCCAAGTGAGGCACTCTGATTGTTAAAAAGCTGACAATTTATATGTAATCAAGGGTGTTGATTACGAATATGATGGCCGTTTGTGTCCATCGACCTTTCCTAGCGCCCTCTGAAGAACCGGGTTTTTTAGAAATCCCCTAAAACCCTAGCAATGCTTTATCAACATATTGGGATTGTAGCCTGAAAATTTTGCATCAAAATTCCCAGCTTCCCAGCCATTGTATAGAGAAGACCTGAAGAAGATACCTATGGGAAAACAAAGTTGCTGGAACAACCTGCAGGAGGTCTATCTGGCAAGGTTCTGAAAGAAAAGGCCGTTGCTCTTTGACTTCCTCTAATGACCCCTATGTTTAAAAAAGTCAGTATACATCCTATAGCAGGCATGGGCGAGTCCGAGGGGTACTGAGTCCTAGCCGAGTCCGAGTCCTTAACATTAAGGGCCGAGTCCCGAGCCTATTTCGAGTCCTGTAATCTTTTAGATTCTTTTTTGATGAGTGTGGTTTATTTCTCTTTTTTAATTTACCCTGGATTCATATTTGATTTTTCACAAATAAGGTTACTTTGCATGTCCGTCTCCAGAGCAAAGTTTTCAACTTCTTGCGAAACAGATGGTGTTGTTATTTCGCTTTTCATTTTTCTCTGTTCATTTGTGTTAAAAGTTGAATAGATCGGATTCGAAATGTAAAACTCAAGTCCGAGTCCGCCAAAACATCTTCCAGTCCGGACTCGGACTCGCCCATGCCTGCCCTATAGTGCCCTCTACCGATCTACGCTTGTCGTCCTCTCTAGCTTCTGTGATTCTCGGACGGTAGACATTTTGTTCAACGTACTTTTGATTGTTTTCTAAAACTTTTGCTTGAGTTTTCTATCTCTGTTTGAATTTTTCTAAGGCAATCGTTTTCTCTCCTTCGTTTTATCAAAATACACCTAAAAACAATTTTCTTTTTTTCTTACACTCTTTTTCACATCTTCTTGCGGCTTATTTTTGAAAAATTAAAGCTTTTTTAATGAATTCAAATCTGAATACTTAAAAAATTTCTCTAGCAAACACCTTAATAACACGGCTGAGAACAATATTTTTTTACATAACTTGATAAGTTCTATTCAACTGCAGAGTTATTTTTGTTTTATTTATGCATCATAAATAAAACAAAAATAAATTTTACTGAAACTTTGAATGGACGGTAGATTACGTAGCAAATAAATAAGGATGAAGTGAGACATCTATTAAATAAAAAGTGTATTTTCTTATTTTTGTTGTTTTTATCGATAGATTTACATATCTTTTGTACACATTGCCAGTTTAATTACGCATGAAATTTCTTACCGTCCTGTTAGTTATGACTCATTAAGAAATATAAATCACAGATCACGTGTCTCGATACATTTTTACAAGACATTTGTACTTTTGCCCTATTTCTCAAGCGAACAGGCAGAATCAAAAACATTCTCTGGCATTTGGATAATTACTCCAAACATCTGGAAAATATGTGTTCACAAAAATTCACCATGCTGTTGTTTTTATAATTTGACATTGTGTATTTTTAGCAGTTTCAAAAAATCTTGTCCTTTCGATTGATATTTTTCAATTCAATCACGGTATATTCTGCATTTTTGCCTTAGTATTTCGAATTTTTTGATCAAAGGCTAATACATCACAATAAAGTATTTGAAAATGTTTTATATCGGCTTATTTGACTGATTTAGGCAAATGATTTGACGACTGTAAATATCATCAGTATATTTGGCATCAATCATTTTTTCCTAGACATTGGAAAAACTAAGAGAACTGTAGTTACCCAATAAAAGAAATTCATCATAGCGTAAATTTATATTATATTTTTATTAAAGAAATGACAAGAATAGTAATTATACTCTAAGTTAAATATCTGTAACAAAGCATAGTATGAAACAACTTTTTATGATAGATCATCACAAAATTAGAAGAAAAAAAAAATCTGTACAACGGAAAGCTTTGCAGCATTCATGCATACCGTTTTAACCATAGTTTGTGAAAAAAGACTTGAACATCTGATTTCGCCATTGGACTGTGTAATGTCACCTCATATATCAAGAATATTTTTCCCTTGTGTCCTGGAGTCGTTCATTATTATTCAATCTAAGATCGATATCCCAATAAATTTGATTAATATGATAGACAGTATAAAGTTGTCACTGATTATCATTCGAGTGTATTTGTGAATGTATATGCATCGACTTTTTATTGTCTCCATCAACAAAAAAGACAATACGAAGCTTTAACTAAACCCTCCTACAGAATAGAAGCCCAGTGAGTCTCTATTTTGTTCCGCAAATTATCAGTTTGGAGATAGACTTGGATTGAGATCGATTATTTCGCGCTGTAGCGAGGAATATATTAGCGTACAAGCTAAGTTATCATAACCACATTTACATTAATTTTTTTCTTTTATTTTATTTTTAATACAGTTCGATGTTTTCGTTACAAAAAATGATGTCAAAATACTTTCACACAGATTGAAAACTATGATTTTAATGATTTTATCAATTTATGAAAAACTAAGAAAATTTATTCACGCGTAGACATACAACATAGCCGTATATAGAAACTACATATGGAATGAAAGAAATTTATGCACATGAATAGAGTGAGCTTCTATTATGTTCGGGAAATTATAATCTCGGAACTGAGCTTCCAATATGGAAGGAACTTTTATTATAGGATGGATTTCTATTCTGTAGAATTTAATTTAAATATCTGACTTCTGACGAAATTTGATGAACATATTGTGTGATGTAATAAATCTTGTTTAATAATTATTCCTGCAGTTGATATACGAGTATTTCTTCTCTCTAATAAACATGATAAAAAGGTAGAGATGTTTTTAGAGAAACTTTTAGGAATTACTTGGGGATTTTTCAGCGACATCATATCGAATAATAAATCATTGGATTTATTCACTGTGATTAACAACGGTGATGCAGGACTGTATAGAGGAAAGGTCGATTGTTCATTCCACTAAAATAACAATGAGTTTTGCGGTGAGAAAATATGTAAAGATCTATATAAATACCCTGGTAGTGTGTGATAAAGCGTTTTGACTATTGATTGATTGTTGGTAATTGTTTATAACAAAGTCTACAGATAGTATAGAAATCATGTATAATATGCGGAGAATAAGTCTAGCTACAGAGTTTTTTTCCTAGAGCTTCTTTAAAGTACAACCCGTTACGTGAGAAAAATTAATTTTTTTCCTATCTTATGTTCATATTGTTCCCATAATGTTCAAAACAATGTAATTTAACTTACTATCGCTGTCAAATTGTAAAAATTTGTCTAAAGCAAAATAGATATAATAAAGCGAAAAAAAAATGTGTTCAAACATTCACCTGTTGAAACGGTGGTATAATTATTTGCACCAGATGTAAGATTATGAATGCTTGTTGACTCAGGTAGCGCTGAAATATGTTAATAAAATGTAATATATGCAAATATGAAACTTCAGAAAGAATATGGTTTATTTTAAAGGTTTCATGGCTCGCCAGACATTTTCTTCTTGAAGAGAGTCTGTATAAGTGGGAGAGAATAGATCGATTGAATGCGTACCATTTAATGTTAGACATTCGTAATCAAAGACAGTAACTGGCGTATGGTCATATCGTGACTTTAGCTCCACATCTGACGTTTGCTCTTTCCGTTTATTTTTCTTATAACATCCAGGTTGATCTCTATGCTCTATATATAAATAATTGGATGGACTATAATCGCCTGTTCCAACAATAAACTGTTTTATAGCAACTAAATAATTATGATATTGTAAACACTCAGGTACGATGCATGAAACAAGACGCTTAAAAAGAAATTTAAAAAAAACTGTAAGAAACGTTAATCAACTATACGTTTTATTCGTTTGGCCCCAAACGAGATAATAAATTGAATAAACCCAAAAGAGATAATAAGTTTTATTCCTAAAAGAGATAATAGAACGAAAAATGTGAAATTTTGTAATTTCAGAAGAGATAATAAATTTGATTAGTAATCAAGAACGAAAAATAAGTTAAATTTTTGTGTTTTCAAAAGAGATAATATAGAATAAAAAAACAAAAAAAATTATGGGTATATATATCTGGTGATATCCAATTTTGGAATTTATATGATACAATTGGTGTACGTCATAATCATCTTTGAGGATGGCATCGTGATCAAAATTCATAAGTGTTTTCATTCGAATATTACAGAACCCAGGAAAATGCTAACAGCTGCTATTATTTCTACTTCGGGAAATTATCAACACGCCCAAACATATGGATGTGGGTGAAAAATATACAAAAAGAAGAGGATGCACGTTATAATCGTGAACAAGAACTTTTCAAGGCTCAACTTAAAAAAAAATAGTAAAATCTAGTATAAAGCAGCTTATTGAAGCTAAACAACGATATGAAATAACAAAAGATATTGAAAGTTATAAACGTTCAACACGAAGAAAAACTTATTGTTCGTTATATGAACATAAAAAAAACCCAATGATACTGATTCTGATTGACTTTGTGATGAGAATAAAATATATACCCATTCTATCTTATCTCTTTTGAAAACACAAAATTTAACTTTTTTTTTCGTCCTTGATTACTAATCAAATTTATTATCTCTTTTGGAATTACAAAAATTTCACATTTTTCGTTCTATCATCTCTTTTAGGAATAAAACTTGTTGTCTGTTTTGGGCCGTAGCCGTTTTATTCTTACCTTGTTGTCTTCTAACTTGGCGTCAACACACACTTTCTTCTCCACGTTTTCTTCAATTTCAGTTATAGTAAATTGTTTAGAAGTACCTACTACGTATCCATTGTTACGTTTAATAAAAGAAAATTCTACTTTCAGTTGTGCATTGGTGTTACCAGAACTGAAAAACGAAGAAGTAATCTAAACTAATGATTTAAGAGTATCGTATGTTTTCTTACTGTGTTGCTTCTTTTTGTTCACCCGTACTCAAAAAGATCCGTCTACCAGCTCTTATGATACAAACTTCTTCTTTCGGATACGTGTTCATCAAAGTCAGTGGTGGAAATCGTTCTGTAAAGAAAAAATGAATATAATTACTTAAAATATGTTTATTAAAATTGAAGGTTAATTACTTTTATCTTTTATCACTCCTGATAGAGCATCTCCAATAAATACGTCCTGTCCATCAATATCATCAATTGTTAGCCAAAGATATATACGACAATGCTCAGGTGAATAGTACTGCTGAGTAATAGCTAACAACTTTTGCACATAATATTCGTCAGCTATAATTATAACAAATATGTATCAATCATCATATGTAGTTTTAAACTGTTGTTTTGGAGAAAATACTTGTTAATAAATTCGTACGATTAAAAGGGAACTCATGATTTTCACTTGAAGTGCCTGCTATTTTTAGCAAAATTACATTTCCATTATTCCTAAAGTTGATCAAAACATTTGCGTCAGCTGATGTCTACTAAATATCTGTTAAGACTAGAAGATCATTTTTCATTGAACGACCACTGTAGAGTCAATGACATGAAAAAAAAACGTGTCATGTTAATACTGGTTTCGATCTAGAAAGCACTTTCTGCTCTTACTAGCAGACGAAAATAAATTATTACAATTGAAGACAACCTTTAGAATACGACTGGTCGGACAACATAGAAGGCCAGATGATCTGGGATATGAGAAGGTTCTATTTACCGAAACACATTATCATTCTGTTGTCTTTGTAATTTACGAACAATTTGCCTTGTTTGTACTTTTTTTTCACGAAATTTGTTTCTGGATTCTCTTAGTGGTATAGTGTTACATAATAAATAAATATAAGCGGTCATTTCAATTACATCGGGATGATCAAAATAGCACTAGAAAATTACAGAAACTTTGTTTTAGTAAACTGTAATAACTTCATCAGTTATCACATCCGATTACTTTTATATCCAACGGTGACGATGGTTCACGATGTTCACACGGGTATCTAAGAGAAAACAATGGAAGGGAATGAATTACTATGCAGTAAGAATGTATACCTGATTCGTATCAAAGGAGTGTTTGACAAAGGAACATATGTGAGAGGCTAGAACAATTACAACGCAAATTCAATAAATAAAAATTATTTATTTAACGATATGTTACTATTGGATTTGAAGAACGTTCTGTAAATTCAAACACACCACTCAACTTCCATCTTAAACATATCACTGGCTCATAAATGGCTGAAAGATCGAATAGAGGGTATGAGATTTAAAACAAGAGCATTAGCATCCGTTTACCTAGCGATTCTTTATTTGTGTTTTCATTGATCATTGCATGAAGACGTAAAAGGGTATCAAAATCCATGTCAGTGAGTGGTATTACCTTGACAAATATGTCGAGTTTGTGTCTAAAGAACGTACACAATATTCTGTTATACCTAATGTAAGACAGATAAATAACAACCTTTCAGTTGAATGACTTGGTTCCCCAATGGGTATATTGATCCACCCGGTTTTTGCATCGGTATTAAGTTCAATACTTTTAGTTATAATGTAAAAAGGATAGGGATGCGTATACCTTTCCCCGTGAAATCGATATTCTAATCTAATCTGGCATTCTTCAATTTTTAGGTAATTTTTAATCTGTAATAGAACCAAAACTTGAGTAAATTATCTAAGCATCACAATAGTCTCATTAATTTTCCTACTATTAATTCACATGATTGATTTTCGTTTGATGAAATAATTTGATTAATAGCTACTCTGATCGATGGTTGTGCAGCATGTTCGTGATTGATCGAATTATAGTATCTAAAGAAAATGAACATGCAATTACCACATAGTTAGACTTCCTGCTAAATCTAACCTTGACAAGAATGGTGTTGCTGAAATACTAACGGAATCGTCAATAGTAGGATAGGACAACTTAAGTGGTATAATGTTGAAACACTAAAAACTGATTTAACATGATTTACTTACCACTAAATTTTCCATGATTCAATTTGTATGGATTTTTTTCACTTATAAAGTCTATAAATTTTTGTACTATTTTTGCTCTTAGTACACGAACGAATAGCGAGAACTTCGTAATGAATTGGATACACATTTCGTGTATGTGTTATATAAATATTTGTAATGACTACTGTAGTAGTTGCGGTAAGTTACCGTAAATTTTTATTTAACACTTAAATATGCCAAATGGAATCTTCCGAATACTAATCGTCTCTATTTACCGCATACATGATGAATTGGACACCTTTTTTAGAAGAAAATAACTTATTCATTTTTTGTTTTTCTGTTCTGCCGTTCTGTTTATCACCGTGTTTGTTGTTTTTCACAAGCTTTACGTTTTTAAAATGCAGCAAAATAATAACGAACATTTATAACAAAGTTAATAAAAATGTTCTTTTTGTTATCTTTGGTAAAACTCTTTAAATTTTCGAAGAAAAAAGACGGTCTAGACGCAGTGTTATCAGCAGCGTGACTTCACATTGATGCTAACGTTTTGCGTCCAGTGTATGTAACCCCTTTTTTCGGTTTTCTTTACGCTTTTCTCTGAAATGGCAATAGATGCAACGTTGATTCTTGTGTCCTTTTTGTATAGTTCAACGTCAGGTTAAAAAAATTTTCACAGAATTTGGATGGTTCGATGCTTTTGAGAATAGAAATAAATGTTGTAACCATCTATTCAATCATGGAGGCGAATCTCAACTACTGATGTAAGGTGTGACAGATTCAGCTCATTCAAAAATAGGTAAGCATCGGTGTCGATTAACCGACACCGAAGAAACCGAACACTGTCATATTCAAGAAACAAAAAGGAGAAAATTTTTAGGCATATGTCGGGTGCGGATACAAAGTTCTCGGGTCGGATCGGGTACGGGTACGAAAACGGTACCCATGCACATTGATAGCCCGGTTTATATTGATAACTAAGTCCAAGTGTATTTCATAGTAGTTTATTTCGAAAAATGAATTGTTAACTCCCACGGAATCGAGAGCTTATATAGTGTAGATATGGCGTAACTATTGTGCAATAAATAATTACACAATAAGAAATGATTATGCAATAAGAAATAACAACTGATTATGCGATAACAATTGATTACGCAATAACAACTGATTATGCAATAATAACTGATTACGCAATAACAGCTTCAGTCTTACATGATGTCTGAGGACGGCGAATCATGTAACACACATCTCTAGATGGTTTTTTGACCAAATTGAATGACTTTTTCAGTGTTAGATTTGCAAGACGTCGGTTTACTGAAAAATCTAAGACTTCCAAACTGAAATCCTTCAAAGAACTCGATTAAAATTAACATGTTTTTTCCCTGTTGAATAATATGGATTCCTAGAAAATCCCATCCGATTTCATTTGGAAAGCATTTTTAAATCTTCCGATATCTACACATTTTTCAATTTTGTTTGAGGAGAATTGTCGGCGCCTCCTTTGTTTGAGGAGAATTGTCGGCGCCTCCTTTGTTTGAGGGAAACCTTAGAATTGAGGAGAAATGTGAAGGCAACAATCCTTCATTTAAGCGTAGAATCAGGATCTTTTTCGTGATGGTTTCTCGAAATACAAGGGAATTTCTGTTTCTCAGTTGTTGGACTATGCAAACGCATTCGCGTTCTCTTTTCTCTGTCTTGCGGCACACAGTTGGTACACCTCCAAAGAATACTCACAACATACACCGTCACTCGAAAATCCAGAATCGAGCCACTGTTGTATCGTCTTTCACATCAGGACGACACATTCAGCAAAAGTATTCGACTGTTCAACGATTATGCTCAAAAGCAGCAAATAATACAACAATATATTTTCTAAACTGCGTCCGAAAATATGAATATTTGCACTTTTGTCGTGTTTTTGAAGGTTATGTAAACCACTGGAGCATTCCAAAATGTTTAGCACGCTCCTTTTCTGTAATTTAAGACTTTACAGAGCTCTACGTCTCTTGCGATGCGAAAATTTGGAGAGAAACAAAAAACCAAAAATCTGTCATGGAAAACAGCACATTCATGTGACCAACCAAATTGATGAAAAAATTCATTTTTTCTTAATCAGAGGAATTTGGAATTGTGCCTGTAATTCTCAATTTTCTTTATCAACTATTAGACTCCTGTGGGACTTTGAGGATTTTTGAGCCTTGCTTGAGCCCAACGAAAGTCCTTAAAGTCCCACGGAAGTCCTCAAGAGTTGAAAGTCACACTTGACTCCCGCAGAATCCTCTGACAGGAGTCCCGTGGGAGTTTTGTCGGGAGTCTCGGCTAGGGTTTCCACCAATAGATTGGAACATGTAAGGAAAACTGCCCATCGGTTCATATGTAACATTAGTGGAAACCCTAGTAACAGCTGTAAATGACTTTCATGGTAAGGACGACGGTTGTCTCTATGGAATCGTGCATCATATCCGTCACAGTCATAACGTCGAGAAATAACAGGACGAACTGGTAATCGATATGGTCCATAATTTCTAAAAAAATGCGGAGGATCTTTTTTGCCACCATTAACATCTTGAACAACTCGTGGACTATGAATTAGCATCATTAATATAGAATCTAGTATGAAAAACAAAGGATATTTCATTTTTCTAGTTTTCCTTCACAGATATTTAGTAAACAAAATATCCGCGCATAACGCTTTCGGAAATGAAAATAGAATATTCTGTTGAAATTAAGAATGTATAGCTTTGATTTAGAGTAACAAAATATGATTTAAATCTATTCACACGAACAGTACAACGTCTAGTTTCTTATTAATTAACACTCTAAGCGACAGATACATCACCCCTGGATATAATTTATACTATTTAGAAAGGAGAAAATGTGTTTTGAGCACCAAAAAAGATTGTTTTGATCACCAAATTTCTTTCTATCGAAATGATCACCAAAAAATAACACTTTATCACCAAATCAATTAAAGAAATTTAAATTAGAGAAAATATATATAAGAAGAATATATAGCAATCAATTAGCAATGATTACCAATTAATGAGTAGACAGACAAGAAAAAGAATATAAAAGATATCTAAAAATGAAAATTCTTGATATCCTGATTGGGATATAGATTTTCTTGATACCCCAATCGGGATATCCAATTATATCCTGATCGGGATATAATTTCAAACTATATCCCGTTCGGGGTACAGAAAAAGTTTTGCTGCAAAAAATGATATCCCAATCGGGATATGTATCCTGATATGTCTCCACACTGCACGATAAGAGCAAGCAAAGACAAATAACAGTAACGCAAGAACGTAAATATAGTACAAGTGAGAAGAATCCTAAGAATTCTAGAATCGTAAGCATCCTAGAATCCCAGAATCAAGCTTTTTACCCAGCGTTTTACGATGTTGTATCCCATAGTGGCATTGAAAATACGATCCAGTTCGGCATTAACTCAACTGAATTTATATTCATAATATTAAAAAGCCTGTGACTCGGTTGTTCTGGATCGCAGAAACCAAGTCGCATCTTATGCTATGGAGAATTGAAGGGGCTATCTCATGGTATGGTTGAAAGGCTTCTGAAAGAAACTTTAAGTTCACTAGGTTTCCGAGAAAACCGGGCTTTTCAGAAATGTCTATCTCAAAACTGCGACATGTAGCATAATGTTTCTCCGCCGAAATATATAGAACTCGATGCGCTCTTTCATTTTGACACCGACTTCAAGGTTCTATGCTAGGGAATGTAGTCAACAGACGTTGTACAAGTTAGGCCAAATGCGCCGGAAAATGATGAAAATGCATTTTTCTGCTGCGACGCTAAAACGGCTATAGCTTCGTTTCTAACAAGGCTGGAGACTTGCGGTTTTCACCATTCGGTTCAGCTTGCTGAGCTCTAGAATATGAGGTAGGTCTCGTCACTGACGTGAACGACCGACGTAGATGGTAAACGGTTTTATATGGACTTAGCTTATCCATCGATGCCGAAAACATCCCTCTCCAGTAGTATTTCTAGTATAAGGATATCCAGGCCCCGTTTTCTCTGAATATTATATATATCATTTTGTAGCCCGTAAAATTCTCTATCGAATGATATACAAACTGTCGTGGTTAAGGATAAACTGGCTGAACAATATAAGCCAGGAACGCTGTTGACCTATCGATTTGTGAAGGTCGGGCTAGTATTGCTACTGTTATAACACCAGGATCCCATTTGTTCTCAGTAATATACATATATTTTGTAGCCCGTGCAATCCTCTATCGAATGATACAGTAGTTGAGGTTTGCTTTGGGCAAAGGGTACAAATGGGTAAAATATTCTAAATAAAGTTCAACTAAGGGGAGAAAAGTTTGGATGTGGAATTTTTTCCAGGGGGGTGGAAATGGGCTTTTTGAGGTGCTAGTTTTAGTCACGGAGAAAAACTACATCAGACTTGTGAATATGAGCTTGATCTGAGAGGGGGTCAATTTTGCCTCTTAGCGACCTCGGCCTTTCTCAGCATTTACATCCGCGTTTACAGTGCGATAGTACTTGTTTCAGTGTATTCGTCAATTCTTCATCAATGATAATTCAACAAATCGAATATCGTATAAAGTTGGTTTTTCTACTGATTCAATTCTTAGTTCAGATAATGTAACATAATTTCATACACATTGACATCATCACATTGGTATGACTATTTATACATTAAACCTTCTCTAATTTTTTGACTAACATTATCTCTTGCTTGTTTGCTGCAATTCTTTTACATTTATTAACGCAGAATCGGGTTCAGTTCATTTTAAATGCTTTTAAATAATTTGCTCAATTACTGTTTTTACACAATTTACATATGGATTGACTGTAACACTCGAAGCTGCTTATAAGCATTATTATTTGCAGTTTGTTACACGTAATGGAGTTGGAAATGTACAGTTGTATATACTTTTCTATCCATTTCAAAAAAAAAATACCTGTGAACATTTATAAGAAAAATTTCTAAAGAACTTCAACGATGAGACCTGCTGACTTGCGGTTCCTGCTAATCAACAGACAAGACCGATTTCGACCGTGTTCGGTCGCAAACCTATCTGCTCTGGAACATGACGCTATTGCAAGCGAGAAATGTGCTTGCGTTGAATTCTCTTCGGATAAACCACTGAGGATAAAAGTCAGACCTTGGTCCTGAGCGATTTATCCTTAGAGCATTCAATCGTAGGGAAGCTTCATGTTAACGGAAGCGCATGCCTTTCATCTGAATGTTTTCCTTACATACGTCACTGACGAATCATGACATTCGATAATCCTATGCGGCATTTTGAACTGAATAAATTTTGGTGTTTTCTCAAACAAGGTGAGACTTACGTCTCTCAAGTTCACTTTTCATGCAATAGAAAAGTACCATACCAAACTTTTTAATTTCATCGTACGGATAGCATCTATACCGACTGCACATTAATCTCCACGTTATTGCACATTAAGAGTTTCTTGCTTCATCGTAAAAGATAAACACAGTATTAAGGATATGAAATTTTACATATCGGCTTAATACCGGCTTTAATTTTTTACGGCTTTAATAGCTTAAATTTAGAGAATAATTTTCAATTTTGACAAAATATGTTATGGAGTATCTGAGAAAAGTTCTTTCAACTAAGGTCAGTACATCGCAGATGAACAACTACTCTATATTCGGATCTTTTTCTTGTAATATGCCCTTTTAACGAAGAAAAAGCACCATTAGTAAGGCGCTCCAAATCCAAGGGTATACTGAAAAACTTTAAAAAGAAAAATATTAAACAGCTAATATTAAAATCAATTAAATATTTTTCTTTCTGTAAGATAGAAAAATATTAAATTGTTTATTCAGGTCAAAAATATTTAAACAAGGTGCGAAGGTGGGGTTCGTATATTCATATCCTCTTGGGAGGTCAAAGTGCGACATCAACAGCACAATCGATCGTTTCAAACATATCATCCATGTGATTGGCTAATTCTCATACAAGGGTTGTGCTCATTGCCGTTGTCGTTATACTAACGGTTTATGGATACTTCAAAATTAAAACATATTTGGCTGGCAAACGTGCTGCCAAACAATCACAACAGGCGGATCTACATAAAAGAATAATCACCAATGTTCTACAGGTGGTCACGGTGCAGGGTCTGACTCCGCCTCGACCAACCCCTCAATTTCATCGTGAACGTGGTACGTTGTCTACACACCTTCCTCGACAGCCAGCAGAAGCGCCAAGTCTGCTGCACCCCAAATCTCGGTTTTCATCCTAATGATACAGTCAATGTTGAGCAAACAGATGGCCTTGACGAAGGATCAGTTGACGAAACTGACCATCAAAAGCAATCAAAAAGATATTTTCGATGAACAATGTTCCGCATCAAAAAAGCAGAAGGATGTCGTGCAGGTTATCGATACTCAAGACCATTATATTGACGATAGTTAGTGTTGTCTACTTCAAGTAGACGAGAAAATCTGATTGTTGAATAGTAATTAGAAAGATAGGCATTTCTTTGTTTAGTATATATGTACGTGTGTTTTCTCTCTTGTTTTATTAATTGAAAAATGCAAACTGAGAAAATAAATAATGACTTATGAGAAAAATTGAAGCTACCCGTACGCTTATCCATCAGACGTAGCTAACTCATCGTGACCGGTCGTGGCTGAACCTAAGTCACGGTCAAGGTCGTGGGGTTATCCAAAAAAACAGTCACGGTCACGGCCGTGACCGCGGCCACTTTGCAGGTCTCTAGTTGTCAATACACGAACACGCACTTTTAACGCATTCATGATCGGCTGAGATCGCGCGTATAATTGAGAATGAAAACATATACTATAACATTCATCAACATACGCCTTTTCAAAGCCTAGCTTATCAAAAAGAAATCATCAAGCATTTTGAAGGAATTTCCGATAGAATATTTCCATCGATGCGTGTCAGAGAGAAATTATAGTCAGAGAAGAAATATTTCAAACCAGTGTCAGTAAGAAAGTCGTAGAGAATGTTCAACAGTTTTCCTGAATATCATAAAACGAGTCTTGAAATGAACCGTCCAGTTAACAAATTACAAGCTGTAGAAAAGAACAATTCGAAAACAAACAAGATGTACAACATGTCAAATGGTAAAGTCATTCCAATTGTTCCAAGATGCATTTATAAGACACCAAATTATCAGTGATTTTCGTAATGCTCGTCACTCTCAATACACTAAAGCAGTTGAGTAATACTTCATCTTCACTTTTGTAGCGCGATTGAGCGGAAATATTTTTTGGCTTATTAATTTGCGTACAATCAGCAGATATTTCTAATAGAACACCTTTTTCATTAATAAAGGATGTGGCTTTCGCCTTGTTCAAACTGGTCGATAAGAATGACGGAAAAATAATGATATCATTTACGGCAAATTTTTGCTGAAATTCTTGTAAACTATTCTCATACATCAAACATAATCCTCTGTATAATTTCAAATTTGTGGTATTCGGTATTGTGTTCGTTGTATCCGCATATACAATCAAAGCATATCGCAATGCTTTAGTATAATCGCCTACTAATAATATTAATTCTTCATCTAGTCGATTTAGAATATCATTAATTATTTTGTAGTAATACGGTGCCTCTTCGGTATACAAAGCTATGATTTTCTTCTCTGGCTTGATCTGTGCTAATGCTTCGAGAAATTTGTCGACAAACTGGAACAAATTTGTCAATTTGAAATGGTTGGGAACCCCATTTGAATATAAGTTTTTCGCTATAATCGTATCGTGAAATCGTTGTATCATATACCGGTGATATGACCTATCGGAATTGATGGATTCAAAATCTTGAATCATAAATCCATGTTTTTTTGTTAATATATAGTAATCGGTATTTGTCAATTTCAATGCAACATCTTCCAATAAAAAGCCATTGATTAAAAAGTAAATATCACCACGTTCGATATGTTTTATTTTTTGTACAACTTCATTGCTGTTGTTTGTTATCAATAATACTTTCTTATGCATGCCAGTCCATGATCGATGATTGTCGATCAACATGCAAAATATGATGATACCTTTGATATTCCAATAGTATCCAATTTCGGAGATAACGGATTCGCCGGCTGATCCTGATGTTATCAAAATGATATTACTTTCAATATTCGACTGGACAAACTGAATCACTGCAGTTTCATTATCGGATTGAAATACTCGATATTTTCCTGATGGAAATTCCTGCGATAATCTGTTAGCAAAAGATTGATTTACATTACTTTGGATGTTTTTATCAAATCAAACGATGTCGATTGTTGACTTGTGACTGTTGTGCTGAAGTAATTTTTGCACGAAGCCATCAAAATAGGACTCTAGTTGTTGTAATTGTTGACTTTTTTGATTTTGCACATTTTTTATATTATCTCTTAATTTTTCATTTAAATCTGATAATTTGCTTCGAAACATAATTTCACTTGTTGCGTCGCCGACAACAGCTCCCAGACCTAATGTCGCAACGCCGAGTAGACTTGACCCACCAAATGCAGCTATTATGGCTGCTATAATAGAGAAAAGACCAAGAGCTCCGAAAATAGATCCTAATAAAACCAACGAGGACGTATTATCAATTAGCTTATCAAATTCACGTATTAATTCGTCTAGATAATGTCTTACAATATTTTTGTCCATAGTTGTTTCCAGCCGATTCAATGCGTTGTGAAGTATTTGTTTCGCCCGTTCTTTTTGCTCTCGAATCTCGTGTAAGATTTCATTAATTCTTTCATCATATTGTCCTTGAATCGATGTTATTTTTTTCTTTAGCTCATGTAATTGATAAATATTCGAGTGATACCACACATGTCTTTGGCGTAGATCTTGAATTTCATTATTCGTTAGATTCAAACCTTGTAATGATTTGTCAAAAAGTCTCGTCATCAAATTTTTGAGTATTGTTTGCTGTTCTCTAGCTAATGCCGCCAATTGTTCATTGACCTATAATAAAATGAAGAACAAGACAAGATACTCATGTCGGTCATGAACACGAAGCCCATCGATAATGTTCTTTGAAACATAGGTAATTCATTAACTTTGTAAAAAATCTGCTCAGTTATTCGATCTCGTTATAATCAACGATGACCTTCTCAGTATTTTACATATTTCTTAGCAGCAACAACGAATTATTGAACTTTTTTTTGAGAAAGATTTCTCGTTTGGTTGTTTACGCAACTGCATTCCTTGGTTCATTCGGATAGTATCCAGCGCGTAACATAACTGTTTCGTTCGAAATTAGTTTAGTCTAAAACATGAATATTTCGAGGAAAATATAAAATTTCTTCATTGGTTATGTTTTCCAAATAAAAGTGTATGACACAGTGGCCTCATTTTAGACACAACTTGTATAGCAGCATTTAGCATGTAATTAATTATACATAACTGTTTATTAATTTGTAATTATTTATTATCGACATACAGTTAAATTTCTCACCAGCGCGCTAAACACTGTCTTTCTCATGAACATAATCGAGGAATATTCGATGAAAATAGACTGTGTGCTTCTCTTATCTCTTATATTAAGTCTAGGAAGAATTTATTTCATTTGGCTTCAGACGCGAAAAGACAGGCCACTTTTGTTCGCTCTGTTTCATGTCATTATTTCTTCTGTAATAATGGCATACAGTACAACTTGTGTACTGCAAATTGTCTTAAAAACTAGAGGGGTACTTTCAAATTTGTTAACTTTTTAATCTATCAAGTTGACAGAATATCGAGTAATTTCATAGTGCGTATAGCGAACATTTCGATGAAAAGAAGAATTTTTTCACTTTTCACTTTATTTATTTCTATATTTGTTTGTATAATTATGCCTATAAAAGGGAAAAAAATCAAACAGAAAGAAAAATGACATTACAAGCAGAGCGAATAAAATGCGCCATGAACGATGAACTATACGATAATTCTGATATGCTTTTTGACACATTATTTTCCACTAATCGCTCTCTTATAAGTTTCAACAAGATGAGCCTGTCTTCCGGAAAATGATTTTTACTTCGTCATAGTTTTTACAAGTTTGAACACACATTACTACCTAGAATGCTAAGAATCCTAGAATCCTAAAGTTATGATGTAGCTGATTAGGGATGAGTCCAATAAGATGAGTGAATAAATGACTGTGACTCCTCGTATGCCGCATAATCGCTCTTTTCTCTTTTCTGTTTTACTTCGGAACAAGTGGCCATCTTTTTTTCTTTCTTTATATACACATCGATCGACTTTCTTATGAAGTTTCTTGCAAGATTCTTATTTCTTATCATTTCAGCCAAGGTTCTTGAAAATTTTCTTGTAACTTCGACCAAGGTTCTTATTTTAATTTTTGCTTCGAGTTTTTATCTTTTTTTGCTCATGATTCTTGCCTGAATTGGCAACAATGGTCAGCAATGGAATCACTTATTTTTTTTATAGGCTTTTATGCTATATATGAAGAATAAGCCTCTATAAGGTAAAGATCCTCATCAGAATATAAAGAAAGTTTCTATTTTCAACAAGATTGTAGACAGATGTTGTTTGTACTTGTGCCTTTGGTAACACGTATCTAACTCTTCTTGTATGTACGAAAGGAAATAAAATTGACAAATTAAGAAGAAAATTACGGTATGTAAAACTTTATAGATATAAGAATATACACACTGCTCAACTAGGTGATATTCAAATAGATTTAAACCTTTTTGACTGGATCATTCATGAGATACAAAAATATAAAATGCTGACAGCTTCTGATTCAAGCGGATGAACAAATATTTTTTACCAAAATGTAACACAGCTCTCTTCTACTTATGAAAGTAACTCACAAAATTTGAAGTAGCCATCCTGGTTCATGAGTTACACCGGTATTCTTATAGAGTACCGTAGTTTACAATATTTTGCAAAAATAATTCATCCCTTTTCAGAAGAATTTTTATTTAAATTAGAGCAAGTACAATATGTTTTTACGATATTTAAAATCAGTATTCCATACTCTTTTCATATCCCTATATCACAACTTTCGTCTATGCTTTTATGTTAATCCATATTGACTAAAATAAGAGCATATAGTTTTCGATTGTACGAAATAAGGTATGCACCAGTTAAAAAGTGATGTTGTGGTATCCGGAAGAATTGCTATACATCGAATATCAAGATTAGCTCAAAGCTGCGGAACGTCTCATTTTGTAGAAGAATGTTTGTTCTACAAAATACATTTGTTAAAAAAATTTCAAAATTATTTCTAACAAAACTTACAGCATTTTAAATGCTCTAAGCCAATGTAATCTGTTTTTTCGTAAATACTGTTCTGTGCTTGTCTATTTGTTTTGTGTGTTTATGAGTAACAAGAGTTAGCAGTTGTCACTGATGCAAAGCTACATGAGCATGAAATAAGATAACTTTACATTGTAAAATTGTACTTTTATAGGAAAAAGAGGTCGAACTCTATTGAATAAGATCAAATTAGTTTTGTAAAATCTGGTTGAATTGGTGAACCGTTAGCTAAGGACTGTGTACTAAAGTGTACCGTTTTACATTAATAGTGTTTCAAACATATATTGTAGGCAAAATTAGAGTCCAGTCAGATTTTGCCAGCAACACATAGTTTACTTTTTTATGACCATGTTTGAGTGGAATCACTTGCGAGTCACTGTGACTCACAAAGGAGCATAAAATGATTACAAATGCGCACAAAGTGATAAAATGATCATTTTACTCATTGACACATATGATAGTCACTTTTGCGTTGTTTTCTCTTGCCGATAGATCACGTTATAAAGGAGGATATGTAAAGAGAGGAAACAGAACGTTCTTTTACAATTATCAAAAGGGAGAGCATTACCATTGCACAATAAATACTGAAGGTCAACGAATCATATGCGCGGATCATCGGACAGGAAAGGGAGAAAGATAAGAAATAACAACTCTTGCGATTCTTAGGATCTTAGGGTTCGAGGATTCTTACGATTCTAGGATTCTAGAATTCCTAGCATTTTTAGGAGTTTTACGATTCTTAGGATTCTAGGGTTCTCAAAATTCTTAGGGCTGTAGGATTCTGGGATTCTTAGGGTTCTAGGATTCTTATGATTTTAAGGACAGTAGGATTCTTAAGATTCTAGGATTCTAGAATTCTACAATTGTTAGGATTCTTAGGAAACTTAGTATTGTAGGATTCTTAGGACTCTTAGGCTTCCAGCATTCTGGGGTTCTAGGATTCTTAGGACTATATCAGTTCGCTGCGAACTCAAATACAGTAGTCACAGCGAATTATATTCTATATATATGTACCAGACACATGTATGTATGGTTATTCGTATGCAGCAGGAGGGGGAAGAGGTGAGGTTGACAGCGAGGTCGAACACTAAGTGCATGATACCCCAATTTCGTAAGACACCTGATTCTTAGTACTCTACGGATTCTACGATTACAGAATTCTTAGGATTCTAGGATTCTTACGATTCTAGGACTCTAGAATTCCGGAATTCTAGCATATTCTAGAATAAAATATTCTTAGAATTTTTGGGGTTCTCGGATTCGAGAAACCTTAGGATTCTTAGAATTCTCCCATTCTTGGGATTCTAGGATACTTAGAATTCTTAGGAGTGTAGGATTCTTAGGATCCTAGAATCCAACAATCGCAGGAATCGTAGACTCCTAAGAATCCCAAGAATCCTAGACCCCTAGGAAAAATCAAGAATCCTGGAACCCTAAGAAAGCTAGAGTTCGAGAATCCTCAGAATTTCAGAATCCTACAATCGCAAGAATCCGAGAAACTCAGAATCCTAGAACCATGAGAATCCTAGAATTCTGGAATCCTACAATCCTAAAAATTCTGGATCCTCTGCACACGTCCCGCACAAAGATTCCGAAATCAATTCCGTTGAATTGATCTGGAAAGATTAAATCACTCTACTTTCATTCACCCCTTGTTTTGCTCTCATTCATCTATATAAGTAATACCGAAAATATGAGTGATTTTATGATTATTTTTCTTTCAGACTCTGCTAGCACTTGCTCTCTCGAAAGCGTTCAACAACTTTTTAGAGAGCTTACATGCGGGTCAAGATCCATAGTTGGACACCCGAAAATATGAAATTCCTCTTCATTTTTCAACATTATTCAACTGCTGCTTTAGATAAAGCGGATTAAAAATTGAAAAATTTTCAGCATATCTCTAATGAATATTATTTAAAAAACGTCGTCGTTCTTAGTATTAAGCTCCTAATAGATTCTTATTCAATCCTAAAAAAATATTAGACAGTATAATCTTAGCAAGATCTTAGAAAAATCTTATTAAGATGTTAGTAAGATTTCGCTTATGTTTGTCTAAGATCTTAGTCAGATTTGAGTAAGTTTTTCACTAGGATCAAATTTATTGAATGAAAGTTTTGAGTTTAAACCAAAATAAAATAAAATGCGATTGCGTTTCGTGTTCACAATTACCGAGATATTCAAAAAATCGCGCCCTCTATAGTGTAGAATAGTGAATATCTCGGTAACTGTAGTTCAGAAATAACTGAAAACAGGAAATGAAATCACATTTTGTTTTGGTTTAAACTCAAAACTTTCATTCAATGAATCTGAGTCCCTCAAAAACGCAAAAGTGCACGAAATAAGCACGTTTTTAATGTGAGTCCACATATCACAAGAATTTGCGTTCTACCATAGAGCTCTGACGAAAAAGAGAAGTGAGCAGAAGGATGTATACCGAGCATATCCAGGAAAAGACATCTCCTTATTTGCTAGATACCTATTACGTATTTTAAAGACGATGTTCAGTTTCGACATCGAAGAAATTCAAAACATTTTGGTTTAAGGTTTTAAAATGATATAAAGAGTCAGCACATAACATCTATTTACTATTGTCAAAGAAACATCTGATTTTATCTTAGTGAATGGATTTAATGTTTCATTATTTTTCTTAGCTGTGCCAATCAAAAAACTCAAACCGCCAAAACCAGAAAACAACTCAAATCTACGTCTTCTTGACTTAAAGAACGAATTCAACATCTGTTTTTTGCCCCTTAAGTTAGGGTCTTCTTCGATGAACTTGATAAAATATATATAAAAAATATAGTTAAAATTTTGTTACATATAATGTGTGCAGGCTTAAAATTGTATATGACTGCTTAGCCCTATTTCTTTATGGTCACCCGTCTACGTTTACTTTTGTTTTCTATTTCTATTCCTTTTTCTTTTTCCTTTTTTTTCATTTTCAAAAGATCAATCATTTTATCTCTCGAAGAATAGAACCAAGATGTACTTGTTCGTACGAACATAGAAGACCCTCAAGCGAAAATAAAGCACATATTTATAATATTTACATAAACAAGGGTTATTGTATATCTCGACATTGAAGGACAGCTTATGTCAGGCAGTTTGATATTATAGCTACTATCCATTTCAAAATAGAATGGACTCGGTTGCTTTTTGAATAACTCAGGAACGTTACTAGTTAGCGAGTTCGGGTCTTCGCCGTCGATAACTAAGACATATAGAGCACAGTGTGCATTTTTTGCATAGCAGGCGGTCATGTAACTTTCATGCTCAAAAGTGGCTGTATATCACTTCAAAAATCACCTTTAAGACAAAAAAGCATTTTTTGAAAAAAAATTTTTTCGACGAAAAACACTTGAGGGACCCTTACCTACGTTTTTTCGAGAAAATGTTTTTGTTAGAAAATATATTGTGTCATACATCATTCGATGCAGCTTCACACGCTGATTCCGAATATGCCATTAGCATTTCAATGGAAATGATTTGGTGTTTGAAAAAGAGGAATCGAGCGTGAAAATCAAGGCTTTTACGAAATGTTTTGGAAAACCTACCATTCGGTCCAGAAGCGTCGGCGCTAATTGGCGCTAACTGTGTTGACATGTCATATATAAGACAGGATTCCCTGAAAATTTCATCAAAATTGAAGCTTCGCTAAAGTTCGCGCACGCATTGTATCAAACACACCTCCTGGGAAAATGCGCTAGAAAAATGTTTTATTTTTTTTCTCCAACTTAGAAAGCCCAAAAATAGAAAAGTGTTTACTAATCGATAGCGCACTTGATGCTGATTCCGAATATATGTTTGTTTGCCCAATAGCTACGTTTGATTTTTTAAAATTTTTGCGTATAATCGGATTTTCCGATGGACACGGGTTTTTTAGTGTGTTTTTGTGTATAGGATTTTCTCAATTTAAATAAGTTCTAGGACATAAAAATTTTTGCCATTAAATAGAGCATGTTTCAAAGTATATTAATCATCCTTTAAATTACTGAAAAATCAACTTTCATTTTTTATCAAAAGCCGGCCTGAATGCACACTGTGTAGAGGGGATGAAACTACATGAAGAGAACGCATAGTGAAAGAAAGAAAAAGATCTGCCAAAAGAAGATAAAACATACGAAATGAATAAGAAGAGGAACGAGCAACCATATCAGTGAATATCGCAAAGGTGAGAACGAAACAAATAAATCGTTCGAATAGAAAGGCAAAGAACATGCACGTGTACAAAACTGAGGCAGAATAGTCCTGTGTGAACTATCACCTAACACAATTCATTTTCAAATGAATGACCACTGGTCATATCGTATTTATACTCGTCTTTTGCATTGTCATTTTGCGTATTTCGTGAGGGAAAAATTACTCAAGTAAGTGATATCATGAAGATATTCATTTTTCAAACTTGTACTATATTTATGTCCTTGCGTTACTGTTATTTGTTTTTGCTTGCTCTTATCGTGCAGTGTGGAGACATATCCCGATCAGGATATAGAAGGTGTCCCCTTACTGTTGTGGAACCTTCAGTAAATACGATACGTTATCTCAAGAGCATATTGAATACACAATAGATTTTTTCGCACACGTTACATATAAAGACTTCTGGAAAGCTTCCATCAGAATTTAACTTTTGATTTAAGGATACATTCTCATAATCATTTTAGATAATAAAAATACCATCCACAAGTGGCAGGGCTCGTCGGGACATTTTGCAGATGGTTACTCAGCACTGAAAAAGCTATAGATTTTGAATTCTGAGACGTTTTGTAGATGCACCAGACCGAGAGCTTCAGTTATAAACGTGTCTCAGATCCTCACCTTTCAAGATTGTAGAGCTAGAAAGGTTCACCGACGACCATTTGATCTCAGACCGCACAAGCCTAGAGACTTCGAAAAGGCTCGAAACATCGGTAGTCGAGTACCCTGAATATCGTAGCAATGTTTGTTTTTCTACGACAGTTGGACATCTCTAAAAAATCATATCTCTAAAAAACCGAGTATTGGCCTACGGACTCCAAAACTTGAAACGGGTATATCTCACTCTTTTTTCCTTCAGAAATTGAACAAATTCTTGGTTTACAGTTTCAAAAGTTTTAGAAAGCTGGCTTTGAGTAGCGCATAATTTTTGGCTGATCATAATGTTTCCTGTTTTAGATATCTCAATTGGTCCTAAGGTCAAATTTGATTAGTATGAATGATTTTCCAACCTCGTTACACGATAAATTGATATTAAATTCGCTTCAATGGTTCTGCAATAACTTATCAGCTCTTAAATAAACGAAACCTTACATATTTGGTAATATATATATATATACAACTCACTACTGACTAGTCTAAACGGTTTATTCTACACATCAGCACTCTAGTTAATAGCTACTCTGATCGATGGTTGTGCAGCATGTTCGTGATTGATCGAATTATAGTATCTAAAGAAAATGAACTTGCAATTATCACATAGTTAGACTTCCTGCTAAATCTAACCTTGACAAGAATGGCGTGACACGACATTACCGCTAATACAAAAAACGACATTACAGTGAATGACGTTACCGCGAAGACTCATTTATTGGAAAAGAAGAATAAATGAGTCTGGTTTTGTACTTTGTATATCATGTGGAGGGAGGTGGGAAGTGGGGAGAGGGCATTGTGAGAGTGAGTTCGAAAAGTATTTTCACATAAAACATATTATCGTGATGGGAAACTAGATATCTGTGGC